GTGATCAGAGACTGTTGGTTTGTAGTTGTGGTAGATCTTTACTGTGAGCTGACTGCTGTCTGTTCAAGATGTGATCAGAGACTGTTGGTTTGTAGTTATGGTAGATCTTTACTGTGAGCTGATTGTTGTCTGTTCAAGATCTGATCAGATACTGTTGGTTTGTAGTTGTGGTAGATCTTTACTGTGAGCTAATTGTTGTCCAAGATCTGATCAGAGACCTTGGTTTGTAGTTGTGGTAGATCTTTACTGTGAGCTGACTGCCATCTTGAACAGACATGATCAGAGACTGTTGGTTTGTAGTTGTGGTAGATCTTTACTGTGAGCTGATTGTTGTCCAAGATCTGATCATAGACTTGGTTTGTAGTTGTGGTAGATCTTTACTGTGAGCTGACTGTTGTCTGTTCAAGATCTGTGGAAGTAGTTGTTTACTGTCCTAAATGTAGACTTCATGTTTTGTAAAAGCATAAAATTAACATTGTAGTAACACACATAAAGACTAAAATTCATTTTAAATAGCAGTGCTATTGTTGTTACCTGGTGTATTGTACTTTACTGTTAGAAACATAATTACAATTAAATATGTTGTATAAACCTAAAACACAAGATAAAACTTTAAATGGTGTGTAAGGGTATCCTCTATTGTGCACATGTTACTTAATATATTCAGTGATACCACAGCTAGACATTAATTCAAATTGACACCTTGCTATTATTGATGAAATATTTGAAGATTTAACTATTTATTAAGTTGACTTACAAAATATATAAAATCTTATGGTTAACAAAAAGATTAGATTAATATCTATGGTGCGTATAATATATCATTTATCTCCGATAAGTAATCTTCAGGTCAAGAGTTGATCTTGGATAGCAGGTCATAGTTCAAACAGTGAGCCCTGTCACTATTGATTACGAACATTAAATTACAATGTGCATGTATTATAAAAGAAATGGTTATTTTGTGTTTTGTTAAAAGCTGGTTAAACATTGTTTTTACTGTTTTCCTATGCAGTATAATTAGTACAGCCTTGTCCACACTTATGAAGGAGGGTTTTGATGTGAAAGCCTTGAGAGCATTCCGAGTTTTACGACCACTCAGATTAGTATCTGGAGTTCCTAGTAAGATACAATATTTAATTGTCTTGAAACATTCTTAAGTGACCAAAAGATCTTAAATTTAGGGTATACTTGAACTATTGATAATTAGATAAAGTACTTAAGTTTAGTGTACACATGAACCATTGATAATTAGATAAAGTAAGTTAAGTTTAGTGTACACATGAACCATTGATAATTAGATAAAGTAACTGAATTTAGGGTATACTTGAACCATTGATAATTAGATAAAGTAAGTTAAGTTTAGTGTACACATGAACCATTGATAACTAGATAAAGCAACTTAAGTTTAGTGTACACATGAACCATTGATAATTAGATAAAGTAAGTTAAGTTTAGTGTACACATGAACCATTGATAATTAGATAAAGTAAGTTAAGTTTAGTGTACACATGAACCATTGATAATTAGATAAAGTAACTTAAGTTTAGTGTACACATGAACCATTGATAATTAGATAAAGTAAGTTAAGTTTAGTGTACACATGAACCATTGATAACTAGATAAAGTAACTTAAGTTTAGTGTACACATGAACCATTGATAAGTAGATAAAGTAATTAAGTTTATAAATGTAAGTAAATTAACAACCTACATCTCCAGAATGTAACTTTATTAGCTCAATATTTTGCTATTACAATTTTGGCAGGAAATATCAATTTCCTAACAGTTCACTATTTCCTGTTGAATCCAAATCCAATTTAGATTCAACTGGTAGGAAATCAATAGCTCCTGACGAAGCTGTAATAGTGAAATATTGATCTAACAAAGTTACATTCTGGAGATATAGGTTGTTAATTTGTTGTTTTTTTATAAAAATGTCTTGTAATAAACTCCAGTTTGTGTTAAACAAAGTTAATAATAACTTTAAGTTTACTCTATACTTGAGTGGATGAAGTAGATTAATCAAATTTAGTGTATATATTAATATTCAGTCACAGTTCTGTACAGGAGATTTCACCTATTCCATGTTAAATACAAATTATTATTATTATGCATAGTTAATAATAGCTATGTAATACTTCTATATATGGTATAACATTTCATCATTGGTTAAGTTCGTTAGGTTTTGCTATTTTCTTTATTTATTTGCCACATTTATGATTGCTGCGATTTCCTTTTCTGAGTCTTGCTATTATTATTTTGGATCTTTAATTTTACCGTGTTTCTTTTTGGCATTTACATAATATTTATCTCTGTTTATTACTTTTATTTGCTTACTTCATGTGTATTGGTGGGAATGGTTGTGTTAGACATGTTTCATAGTATGTATAATGTTTTGTATTACTTTTAATTTTATTAAATTGTATTAAAAAAAGTAATATTCTAGCTGTTTATCTATGATCCATTTGATTTATTACTTTGTATTTTCTTATACTTTAGTGTTTGACCGTACTCTTGGTAATACTCTGCTACTTGGTTTCACACCTAAAGAGTAACGTGTTTCGTGATAATTTATCTCAGATGCCACACACTTCTAAAACTACACTGTCAGAGCTGTTTAATGAGTTTTCATTGATCGCAAAGCATTTTTAGAGAGGATTATGATGTTACTGTGTTCAACAAACATTAAAATCTACAATACTTTAAGCTAACAACTTATGTTTGTGAGTTCCATAACTACGGTGTACTTTTTTAGTTTTAACTTTTATTATAGTGATTGTATTACATTGTTAACTTCATATATATATAGATTCAGGACTAACCTGTGAGGTATTATTGGGTTTATGGACAAAAATATCACTAACAGTGAGGATACCCAACTGATGAAACAATGCACTTTATAAGTAACAACGTAGGAAAAGTAAACTTAATTGGCTATACTCATTACCAGGTTGAGTTTTAGTTTTGTTCTAAGTGGGTAACTTACTCTGATTGGGAGTTACTTTTAACTGATAAAGTGAAAAACATTATTTAGATTTAAACTACATTTGTTTAATTTAGTTAAATTTGTGATTTTGCATCTAAAATACACGACCTTTAGGACTTTTAAAGAAAAACAAAAAAGTGGGTGTACATTTTCACTTTAATTTCTTATATTGACCATAGTCAAAACTTTTAATGACTTTTATTTCAGTCACTACATTGTGCATCTATTACATAAACATATAATTTTAAAACCAGTATTTTATATTTCTGTTCTTTCTGTGATTTGTTACTTGTCTTCATTATTATACTGTTTTTAGGCCTACAAGTTGTTTTAAATTCCATTCTTCGTGCCATGGTGCCTTTACTTCACATTGCCCTCCTTGTCATATTTGTCATCATCATTTACGCCATCATTGGGCTTGAACTGTTCTCAGGAAAAATGCACAAAACATGTTTTAATAATATAACAAGTAAGTAATAGTTTGTGATGATTTCTTAATAATAAACTCGTATATGTTTAGAGCTTTCAGCCTAACATTGGAAGGTGAAGGATAAACATTCAGTAATGTGGGATTCGGTGACACTTTTCGTGACGAAACTACCATTTATCTTAGTGCAGCCAGAGTTGTTTGTTGAAACCTGTTAGGTAGAAAATATATATGTTCAATTTATAATCCATGTTTATTAACTATGCAAGATTCATCTTGTCCAGTATTCTGTTGATTAAATTACTTATTATCTTTAAAAAACCTATGATTTGAACAAGTGGAAATAGGTTCGTAACTGGACATCTGTTTGTTTCAGATGAGCTTGCACTAGATGATCCACATCCTTGTTCCGATGGATCGAGTGGATTTCACTGTAGTGAATATCAGGAGAACTTTGTGTGTGAAGAATACTGGGATGGCCCAAATGATGGGATTACCAACTTCGACAATTTTGGCCTTGCCATGTTAACTGTATTCCAGTGTGTAACATGTGAAGGATGGACAGATGTTCTATATGATGTAAGATGTTTTATCTGTCTTCGTATTACATGAAAGAAAGGCTTTGCCTTAGGCAAATCATATTTACTATTATAATATTAGTGTTCCAAACTTTGTAAATTGGACTTCAAGTTCCAAAAATGTTAAATATTTTGTTAAATATGATATTTTGTATATATTTTAATTTTGTATTATATAGAGTTTATAATGATCTTAAAGAATTGGTATTTGTTCAAATGATTGATTATTTTGATGTATATCATAGTATAAATATGAAAACTATATATATTCATAGATTAAATGATGGCATTATAAGGAATGGAGTGACTTACTTTGGAGTTAGATGGAATTATTAGGAGTGGAGTGACTTACTT